GAACAGGGGCACAAAGTATACTGACAGCACCATCCACAACAAACAAACCTATTTCAATGAAATTGATTTAGAAGTGAGGTATTTTAAAAGCCTCGTGGTGCAGTGGTTAAAACGCTGTACTGCAGCTACCAAACCTATTTAAATTAAATTAATTTAGAAGTGAGGTATTTTAAAAAGCCATAGACAAGCAGTTAAAAACCCTTGGTTTGTAGCTCAAATAAATAGATTCCATGCATGTGTTATGCACCTGAGAATTTATAAATTCATTTAAATTGTGCTTAAATTGATTTAACAGTAGCTCTTAATGCCAGTGGGAACACTTTGTCACTGGAAGGCAACAGCTCAGTAGTACATTGTTATTGTGATGTGCTGTCAGATTGCCCTGACTTATGGTGATCCCGTGAAGAAGCGATTTCCAAGATGGCCTATGCTCAACTGTCATGCTCAGCTCTTGCAAACTACATTAGGAAGATCAATAAGCAAGGCTCTCCCACATTGGTTGTTCAAAGTATCTGGCATTCAGAGGCATGCTGCACACCACCTCTATAAACACAGAAGCTTCATTGAGGGAGAATCTCTCTAATACTTGCAGCTAACCTGGCATCTGACCTGCAGTGAATGTAATTTTTAATTTCTGGTGCTTATCCTGTTGAATATATACAGGAAACCACAGCTGGGTGGAGCTGTGGAATAGCACTTTGCTATAACAGTTCAATTTGTTCACTGAACAACAGCTGTAAGAAACAATCCAGCCTACATGGCACATTTTTGACACGTTACATACACTGTCCCATTTCCAACTGGATTGGTTTTAATTCAGCTGGGAAGAAAGTGCCAAGAGCAGTTTTGCTTTTTATGGTGTTGTTCATATGTCAATGTATAATAAAAGAATCGGCCACTTGAGGGAAGCAGTGAGCGTTTTCCAATGCCCGTACAGGTAGTGCATGTTTAAGGAGTAATGCTCATTTCTGAATCAGCAATAAATGCTAGTTTTAACACTGTATTTGTTTAATTATTTTTAAATATTGTAATAATTTATTGTGTTAGCATCTCGTAATACTGACTTTTTAAAATACTGTAAGCTACCTTTGATCCTTTCTTTTTAGCTGTGTTAACATCTTGTAATACTGGCTTTTAAAAAATATTGTAAGCTACCTTTGATCCTTTCTTTTTAGAAGATGGCAGATAGAGATTTTTAAATCAATCAATCAAATGAATAAGGTCATGTTTCTGTATGGATGATGTAATGGTAACAATCTGGATCCCCTCCTGGTGCAGTAACAGAACAAGTTTCCTTTGAAGTGCAGCATTTCAAGCTCTGCTTATTATGTTGATGCCATTTCCTTTACATCACCTATGCAAAGATTTGCTTTTTAATGAATTAATTTCTGTAGTGTTTTTCCATTGGCTCACTCTGTTAACAATGTTCCTCTCATTGTTTCAGGGGCTGTGTGGTGATCTGACTGTGTATGTTTTTATACTCTGCACAATTCTTTCATTTGCAAATTGCCTGCACCTTTTTTAAAGACAGGTACCATTTTTAATGTATTACCATTGTGTGATCATCCACTTGCTTTTGAATAGCCTGGTGTGATCAACGTGCGGCCTCAGAATGGAGACCTGTCTACCATATGAAACAGGTTTGCCGCTTTGAGGCCTTTGTGATCATCACCTTCCATGATGGGGCATGAATCATGGTTGTTGCAGCAGTGAGCTTTTTAGCTGGATACTACAGGCAGAAACCAGACACTGCTAGGTTTGTCTATAATACATCATTCTTTGGCAAATGCATGGCTCTTGGGTTTGAAATAGTTACTGTTTTGTATTAGCTTTCCCAGAACACCACTGCTCATTCTGGCTGGGGTCTTATGGGACTTCTGTTTGCACAAACTAAATTTTCAAAGGTCTGGTCTGGCCCTATTATCCAGTTTCTTTCCTTTCCAGTTGTATTGCAACTGCAAAACTTACTACAGAGATTTTCTTTAAATAGACACTATCTACACTTCAGTCAATGAATATTGTGCTGGATTACTGGATTCAATGTGTTCTTCTAATGATTAGTTTTCTGGAGTGTCAATTGTCCGTGGTTTTTCTCTACTTGGCTGTCCGACAGTTTCTCATAGCTTGCAGTCATGCTTCCACTAACCATTATTGTGTCTTCTTTGTTTTGCCTCATTCCTTGCAAATTAATCACAGATATGTAACATGTTCACTTTGCATAGATGTGTATAGTTTAATTTTGGTCACAAATTGTGGAACTCTATTAGCAAATCTAAAATATTTGAATAACAGGGACAGTTTCATTATTATTATATTTGCAAACATCATTGGTGAATGTGTTTTAGGGTATATAGACCTATTATGATATAACAGCATTACAGAAATGTATACTATGATATACAGTACTCTCCTACTTGCAACATATTTGTTTTACATATTGTCCTGTTTAACCACAGCTAAACAAGATAATTTGTGGTCTTCTTTAAACATAATTAGCTTTGCCGGTCTTATCTGGGATTCTTGTATGCCTAATTTGAAATTTCTTGGCAGACCTTCATTTTAACTAATCTCAACCAGGTTAGTGCCGAGAGTTTGTATCATGGGACATAACAAGGCTGGCTTATTAAACTGACTCAGGTGGCAGTAGCTGGAGTGTCAAGTCACGTCTGCTGACTGTTTCTTCCAAGTCTCCTGGCCATTCTCCTCTACTGGAAAACAAAGATTAGTAGATAAGTGGCCTAGTCTGTCATGGCAGTAGCTGGAGTGTCAATTGTACATGTCAAAGTCATGTCCGCTGACTGTTTCTTCCAAGTCTCCTGGACATTCTCCTCTACTGGAAAACGAAGATTAGTAGATAAGTGGCCTAGTCTGTCCTAAACTGCTTTGTGAGCTCCTGGATGGAGGAAGACACAGTCCCATTGCCAGTGTTTAAGGGAGATTGAACTGTTAATTTTAGTTCTCTGTATTGAATGGGTAGGTATGCCTTGTCCTTTGTCCAAAGCAGCAGAATGGCAAGGGGCCGCCTTGAACATGCCCCAGCTTGTGACCAGCAAATCTATCATGGCAGTATCAGGTGAGCTTTCTAGCAAGGATGAGCCAGAGCCTCCTCAACTCGAGTGAGGAACTGCCAAGACCTGCATACCCTGAACCCTTGGAAATCCAGCTCCTCAACCCAAAATGAGTGAGGAACTGCCAAGTCCTGCATACCCTGAACCCTTGGAAATCCAGGAGGCTGAACCCTGAGATGGCAGTGCGTCTGTGCCCAATTCTGAACCTTCAGGAGGACAGGGGCCTGGACCCCAGATGGACACAGTTGTGGGGGAGGATGTCAGAGAGGAAGGAAGCTGTCCAGGAAAGTGCTGTGGGATGAAGGCATGAGTCCAGGGAGCATCTCCCAGATACTCAGCTGCACGAGACCTTTTTGGGAGAAAAGCCTTCCTCAAAGGTTGGAGGTTTTCTCAAGGGAATATTCTTCCTCCAAGGAGATCAATGGGCCAAATCCTGCAGCACAGCTCCCCTGCCAACTTGCTAAATGCCTGCAGCTGAGCTTAGATAGGAGTTCTGGCAACTGTTCTTAGACAGGAACCCAACTGCATAAATCAGATTGCAGAGTATTCAGCAATGATCAAATATCTTTGCTGGTTCTTCACCTTGACGTTTGTGTATTCTGAACCTTGCTGCTGACTTGTTTGCCATCTCTGACTTGTCTACTGGCTTGACTATGTTTCTTGGAGTTTCTCTGCATGTTTCTCTCTACTGACCCAACTTGGCATTTGGATTGTTCTGGACACATCTGGTGTCCCATACCTGGTTTGCCTGATTCTATTGTATTGGTTCATATGCCCCAGGCCCTGTGCCTCCCTTTTTTTGCTGTTGTGGTCTTTAGTCCATGAGAAATAAGATACATTAATTGTGAAGGTCCAACAAGACTCATTGTTATTTCTTGGTACAGGTGTCTCCACTTGATTTTGAAATAATAAAAAAAAGATAAGATAAAAAGTGTTCAGACCATCCTGTATGATTTACTGATCTTTTGACACCAGAATGGATAAAGAAGTATACATTCAAGTAATTTTTTTAAATTGACAGTTGTATATGATCCAGCCACATTGGGCATTATGTTCACCACATGTATGCTTGTATCATAAACATGCAGTGGCTGCAATCTTAGACCCTCTCACCTGTAAGTAAACCCCACCAAACTCAAATGAATTCTTTCTGAGTAGACAGATGTATGATTGTACTGTAAGACTGGAGTCATATGCCCACTTATCAAAGAATAAGAATACTGAAAATAGTAAGACTGAATCCTGAGTAAATGTGCTTGGGGTTCTATTATGTGGCTCAGATGTAAGAATATGATACAATTATCACCAGTGACTATTTGGTGTGTTTCATGCAGCTCTTCTCAAAACAATTTTATATAAAAGCAAAAAAGAAAAGAAAAAGGATTACCCAGAGATAACCTATCTGGGTTAGGATGTAAACATTTCTCAATGGAACACATGATTTTGATGTGCTCATTTAGCACATCTGACACTGGCAAGACACGTACAGCCTGCATATATCTGAATCCCTTGTGCCCCTGGCTCCTGTATACTGAAACTTAGCCTGAATAATTATTGCAGCCAGCAAATGGGGTACAATCTAAATGGGAAAATAGAAGGGATCATTGTTCAGCATACAGCATTATTCAGCATTACAGAAATGTATACTATGACATACTCTCCTATTTTAGCACCAGGTTGCAGAATCAGCATTACAAGAAAGCAGCTTTCCGCTGTTAGTGCTAGCGTCCCAGGACTTTCTTAGGTCATCAACAGAAAGCACAGCCATTAAAAAAAAAAGATCAAGTAGGAGGCAAAAAAGAACCTTTTAGCATTATTGAATTGATCCATGCTTGCTCACAAAATAAAACTATGAGTAGAAAGCACAGCCATTAAAAAAATGATCAGGTAGGAGGCAAAAACAACCTTTTAGCATTATTGAATTGATCCATGCTTGCTCACAAAATAAAACTATGAGTATATTCTGCATACCAAGCCAACAGCAAAGGATATGTATTAAGTTCCCCATTGCAAAACATAGCACCTCCAAAGTGGGTTAGTTGGGAGAAAACTGCAAATTCCCTTGAAACTAGAACACCGTTCTTACGGTTTTTAGGCATCTACAATTCATGATTTTCATGTTTTTATTCCACTCCCCCAGAATATTCAAAATGAGGAAGAGGTGTATCACATGATTTGAATCTTGTAATCTATACATTCCTGAAATGGTCTTGTCATAACTATCAGTTTGTACACTTCAAATAGTTTCCTGAAAAATGTTGTGCTATTTTGATTTTCTGTTTTCTGTTTTCTAAGCAAATGAAACAGAAGTATCAACAACAAGGAGAACAGAAGTCTTCTTGGCAAGATTCTGCAGAGGTTATTTCTTCATTCAAATGGTCAGTCTGAGCATGTAGTTAATTTCTGAGTACCTGAAAATTAAAGAAAAGAATACATTTTAAAACAAAGTTAGTGTTAATCTCACTCAGAGCTTTCTTGATTTGCACAAGCAGAATAGCTTGTATCATCAGATGACTGATTAAGAAGAAGCTAGGGGCTAAAGATCAGATCGGGTCATGCCTGTGCAGCATTGTACGAGGGTCAAGCGTGCAAATTTTTCCTCTCTAATAGTAATCAGATCCAAGGATTTCTGTTTAAACCAGATGATGGACTGATATGGAATGGGATGGACATACCCCGGGAAGGACAACAAAACCTCCGTGGCACCTTCAAGACAAACCAGATGGAGTTTGGGGGGGCTTTCATGCACTGTAGCATTTTCAGATGTGTGAAGTGGCACACAAACATTTTCTCGATCTAGAGTAGTTATCTATCTAGTTCCCAACTTTTGGTCCCGAGATGTCTTATTATTCGTACAACATTAAATAATAAAATAATTGTGTGTCATCAAGTCAATTCTGATTTGTGGTGACCCATTTCTAGGGTTTTCTAGGAAGAGAGTACTCAGAAGTGGGTTATCATTCCCTTCTTCTGGGGGGCGCCCTGGGGCTGTGCAGCTAGCCCAAGGCCACACAGACTGGTTCTATTCCTGGCAGAAACAGTGGAGAATTGAACTCTTTTGGCTTCTCAGTCAGAGACCTAACTCAGGTAGCTACCCAATCAGGTATACAACATTAAGGTATGATCTAATCTGGGCTTAGCATGTTACACTCTCCACAAATGTGGGGGTTGATGGAGGGAAGTCAGCAGCAGTGGTGTTCCATGTGAGTAGCAGTGAGCAAGCATGTAAGAGAAGGGGAGAAAGTGGCAAGAAACAGAACTATTCCCTCAGGAAAGGTAATCCAGAGGGTTCATGCGCTAGCCTCTTGTAACAACACCAACAAAGAATCTTTGACACATTAAGACTAACATGTTTTATTTGACATAAGCTTTTGCGAGCTGCAGTCCAATGTGAGATGAGATCAGCAATAGCTTAAGTCAAATAAAGGTCCAATGAGACACCCAAATTGGAGCAAACTGGCTTGGGCTAAGCAGGATTGCTTAAGGTTTAAAAATGTAATATGCCATTTGGTGTGATTCTTGCATGCACATGCAAAATTGGGTGGTTTGGGGTCAGGAAACCACACTGCACTTCAAGCAACCCTAATTGGGCCACCACCCTAAAAGGAAAAGAGAGAGAAAGATAAAGTAACAAAACAAAAAAGATTCCCCTCCTAGTCCCCTTCTGGGAGGAAGCTTTCAATTTTAATGTTTCCATCTGAAAAGGCACAGTGCATCAGTATTGCCCTACAAGGCTTAACCCCCCCAATAGCCCACAGAATAGTGGAGGAAGTTTTCAATTTCCCAATATTCTTAAGGGATTTAAGCCATCTACATTGGTTCAGTTTCAGTAATTGCATATGCTGGAACCAAATCAGAGTAATCCTACTCCCCACATAAAAAAGTAGTCCCTGATAGGGAGGCAAAAAGATGCAGGTAGGTATGCATCAGAGATGGGCTGGTCCATGGTAACACTTACGTTGTGTGCTCACCAGCAAAAGAGTGAACCAAACAGCAAGAGACAAATCCCCATCTGGTGGCACTCTAAAACTAGCTAGTATCCAGTGTCCTACAAGATTCTTTAGTTTTCACTCCATTTGATTTTTTTAAAATGTATCTTTGTATGATAACCAGTTATGAAATTTTACTTACAGTGGTCTGCTGGTATGCAGTGCTGATGACATTTTCAGAATCACTTGGTAGGTATTCCTGAGAAAACAATCTCTTCATCTTCATCCAAAACGCCACCTGGCACAATCCTGTCAATTGGAAAGGCAGATGTAATAAGATAGCAAAAATATAGCCTGGTATCAATGTGTTGACAATAATTCTAATGCAGTACCGAGGTTGATTGAGATGGCAGATGACATTAACAACTACAGGCCCACTGTCAATGTGCTCTTTTAAGCAAGCTAGCAGAGAGGGTGGTGGCTGACCAGCTGCAGCCACTCATGGAGGAAACTGATGCCCTCGATCCATTCCATGTTCAGGCCTTGCTGGTCCTCCTCAACCTCTCAGTGGCCTTTGATACTGTTGACCACTGTATCTTCCTGGGGAGGCTCTCTGGGTTGGGGGATCCCCTTTGGGTTGGGGATCAATGGCCAGCCATTGGCATGGCACCGATCCTTCCTAGAGAACTGTCCCCCAATGCTGTTTAATATCTATCTGAGCTTTGTGTTATCAATATGCAGGTGACAACCAGCTCTATGTCTCCTTCCATTCCTTTGCAGAAGATGCCATTCTGTCCCTTGAACGCTGCCTGGATGCCTTGCTGGGATAATAGACTGAGGCTGAACCCGGACAAGACGGAAGTCCTGCGGATGGGTTCCCATAGTGTCTGTGGATTGGGGGCCTCCCTCTCTTTTGTGGGGGTTACTCTGCTAAGGATGAAGTTTGCAACCTGGGCATTCTTCTCGACTTAGCATGATTAATGGAATCCCAGGTGGAGTCTGTGGTCTGTTCCACTTTTTTTTTTTACTTAGGCAGATTGACCAGCTGCATTTCTACCTTGACACTGAGACCCTCACCATGCTGGCCTATGCATTGGTAGTCTCGAGATTAGACTACTGTAATACTCTCAATGTGGGATTGCCTATGAAGCTGCTACAGAAACTTCAACAGGTCCAGAATATGGCAGCCAGAATATTGGGTGAAGTGAAGAAATTCCATCATATCTCTCCCACTCTGGCCACCTTGTAGTCATTACCTGTTGGTCTCTGTGCCAGCTTCAACGTGATGATGGTGACTTACAAAGCCCTAAATGGTTTGGGAAATTGATACCTGACAGAATGCCTCCTTCGAATGAGATCTGCCCATCCTACACGATCGTCTCAGGTCGTGCAGTTGAGAACACCCCAAGCAAGCCCCGGAAAGAGAAGATTAAAAGCCAGGCCTTCTTGGTGGTTGCTCCTCGTCTTTGGAACAATCGCCCACCAAATACCCACCTGGCTCCTTCACTCAGAAGCAATAACATCGTTAACACAATGGTTGTTTCAGCACTTTATACTACCCATTCTGTCACCTTGACGTTTGATTATCTTAATTATTTCTAGTTGTTTAGTTTTGTTGCTTGTTTGTGTTTATTTGATGTTTAATTTTGATTTTTTATGGTTATTACATTTATTGTTTTTATATTATGGTTTATTTGTTTAGTTGTGAAACCACCCAAAGTGGCCCTGGCAACAAGAAAGCAAGAAAGCAAGAAAGACCCACCAACCCATACCTACTGAGGTCCTAAAGTAATTCTGTCAGTTCATTTATGCAATAAAATATTTGACAGGTGGAGGTTGGATTTCATATGTGAGAAAGAGACAACTTGTTTCCAGAATCGTGCTATGATTCTGAATTAATGGAGGAGACATGATGGAAGCCAGCAGAGAGGGAGAAGAAACTGTGATCTAATCAGATGGGAATCTAGCTGTATCAGCTGCATCTTTTATGTACACTCTAATTACACATGATTGAATTCATTTATGCACAAGGGGCCGCAACTGAGTGAACCCCAGATATCAGTTCAGATATCATGACCTAGGCTGAAGGCCAATATAATGTGTAACAGTTCTCATACAGAAGCAGCACCTGTAGAAGCTACACAACTACAGTTTTGTCTTCAGAAGTTTGATTCTCTGCAACAGATTCCACAAGGATGATGGTATGGAAGCCAACTCACAGTGAACTTTCTTTCTGTAGATCAACCCATATAGGCTTCTGGACACGGATGTTTGTACACATTCTATTGAGCTGGGCATGTGGATAGCTGTTGATTTCATCTGTCAGGAGAAAGGATACCATTATGATAAGTAGAACCAACATAATGAGCAAGTGAACTGCCCTGCTTTGACCCAAACACCTAACAGCCATGGTTGGGAATCAAGCATCACTGAGTGACTCTGGTTTCTCTAGCCCAGTGCTATCTATGCCAAATAACACTGGTTCCTCAAACACACACTTTTCCCAGTCTTTGCTACCTAAGATTTTTTAAATGAAGATACCAGAGAATAAAATATGGAACTTTCTACACGGAAAAGTGTGCACTGTACCACTAACTACATCTAACTAGGTTTATATGCCACATTATTAAATGTACAGTAGCTGTAAATTAAATTAGATGAATTAATTTATGGCAATTCACAACTACTTTTTCCTGGGCCTTGTAAGGTACTCATACAGCTAGGATGTCTGTTTATGTAATACTGTGAACTGGCTAGGACATGCTTAAGGACCTGTAATGTGTTCTGATCACAAGTTTACAAAAGTTTGGCAATCGTAATGTTGAGGTATGCTGGATTTACGTTATCCTACCTATAATCTGACCATGTGCTTGTCTTTACTATCTCCCAGGGTCAACGACATCCAAATGCAAAAGGGATCCACCCAGAGGGTTTTAAACTGTACTCATGTTGATCCCAAAATAGACTCATTCATGACAATGTTTCATAAGAAGCATGACTCCTATCCCACTGAGACTAGCAGAAGTATTGTTAGCAAACTTTGTAAGTTGAATAAGCCTTTGGCTTTATTTGGCCTAGATATCAAAGTTGAACAAAATCTTCTTGTCGGAAGAACTGCCGATGAAGTGAAACATTTGCTTGAGCTCAGAGCCCTGAAAGCCAATTATACTTCAACAGAGCACAATCCTTTGCCAAACATTCTACTATTTTCTTTTTCTTTCTATGCGCAATTTATTTTTCATGGGCTAGCTGCTGCCTCACTAAGGCAATGAAATAAAGGCTGAGGTGAGTTTTCTTCTCATAGTGAAGAAAGAACTCATCATCCTGAAAACGAAAACATCCTGTCATTTCTGTGTCATATATCAGAAGGAAACATGAGCAGCAATGCACTTCGAGGCTTGGCCAGACACAGCATTGCTCTGGTAAAAGTAGCCTGGCTGTTTCATTCCTATCTCCACCCCCAACCAGAGAACAAAAGGCTTAATACATGTCTTTTCCCAGCATGGCATTTCCAGGTTTTTGTGTTTTGGTTTTCTAGGATGTGCCTGCATTTTCTCTTTGTTCTGGGATTTTCCTGGTGGTTGAAGTTTAGCAGTATGCCACTTCCTACCAAGAATTCCATTCCATGTCAAAGGTCTCCAGGTCACAAACCTTTAATTAGCTTTTGATTAGTTTTTAAAATGGTGAGGAGATGACATCCAAAAGCAAAGCTGCAGCAGAGAAGTCAATTTATAAGGACTGAAAAGGATTTCTTTTCCTACAGAAGCAACTTTGAAAGACACTGTATTTGCAACACAATGCAGCACAGTGCGGACATTAACAATGGCACACTGCAGTCTCCTTCAGGAATAGCTATGGTTACCTGTGATCATTTGGTGCAGAACTTTTGCCTATCTGTTCACATCCTCTGTATACTTTCTGAATACTACATTCTATAGTGCAAGTACTTACTTTTAAGGAACAGTATCAATGGCTTTAGAAAGTTCTCTGCATATCTGAACTCAGCCTTGTGGATCCTGCCGAGCTGGATCAAGTGATGTTCCAGAGGGATGCTTGCCAGTTCCCTTAGTTCGAAATCATCATACTCCTGGCCTATGGAGAGCACAAAGAGAGCATAGCCTTGACACTTGGCTCTCAGTGATGCATCGCTGAGCATTTCCTTATCCCACTGACTTGTCACTCCAGTAGATATTATAAAAATAGCCTTATATTTCCTCTGGTTCGGTGCTTTTGAAAAGATATTGTCAATGGTCCACTGTAGGGCATGGCCAACAGCAGCTTCCCCATTCAGCTGCTGGACAGATTCTTGGATATGTCTCTTCATTCGTCCTTTAGTGGCATATTTCACAAAGTCAAACTCAATCTTGACAGGACTCCCCTTTCTTTTCGGTATGAATTCTCTCGGAGCATGACTCACAACAGCCACTCTGTCACCTCTCAAAGAGTCCTCTGGATTGTCAGAAACATCAAAGTTGTCAAGGGCTGTGCTTAGGAAGTCTTTGAGTTTGTCAAATTCCACCCGGCTTATTTTCCGTGAGCTTTCCAAAATGAAAGCAGCATCCATGTAAGCCCGAGGCTGGGAGATTTCCTGACGGAAGCAAGATTCATCTGGTTTGCACTTGTCTGCAAATGGACATACAATCATTTTAATATATGGGGGGCGGGAGAGAGAGTTTGTGATAGGAAGTCTGATTCTCATATGCTCTTACCATAGCAAAGTACACAGGACTTCAGTCTTTGTAAGAGTAGACTATAATCACCATCCTGATTAATATTAATAACCTGAAACAATCCTGTGGTATCCATCTAAAAGAAGAAAACATTTTATTGAAACTCAAGAGAAAAAGTAAAATTATATGCCAGCTGTTAAGATTGTTGAAACAGAGTGCCAAAATATGTACTAAATGATCTGGATCAGTGTGATGTGTGTGTGTGAGAGAGACAATAGATGGGGATAATCAATTATGCAGGGCCAAAAAATTCCTTCCCCCACTCAACTTTTTTTAGATCTACATACAGATTGCAATGTATAAGCTTTCTTTATCTTTTTCTGAGCTTACTTCCTGCTTCTTAGAGCAAGGGTGGCAGAGTGTGGCCTCCACATTCCCAAATGCAGCCCCCAGCAGAACCTACTTAAAAAAAACAAACCCACCCTGCCCCCCAAAAACCTTGTGCCCTCTAGGCTAGGTGTGGCAAACATTTGGCGTGCCAGATATTTTGGACTATAGCTCCCAGAATCCCCAGCCCATATCACCAACAATAAAGGACCGTTAGCATTGTAGGCCAAAAGATCTGGAGTGCCAAGTGTTTGCCACCCCTACTCTAGGCAATTTGGAAAGCAATTGTGCCATCTTTGGGGCCCTCCAAACATAGCTACCTACCACCCCCTCTCTTCAGTTTTTGTATTTTTACAAGATTGTCACTGAGGGTCTGAAGAGGGCTTTCTCAATTTAACAAATCCTTTCAAAAGGAAAACTATTGTGGAGTTGTGGGGGCATTGCAGCAGGTATGGCCCTCCAAAGTCCAGGAGTAGACATGTGCCTCCCTTAGACCTCTGGAGACTGCTTGTCCACATTCTAGAGCAGTGGTTCCCAACTTTGGGTCCTCTGATGTTCTTAGATGTCAACTCACAGAAATCCTGACCAGCAGAGCGAGTGGTGAAGGCTTCTGGGAGTTTTAGTCCAAAATAATCTGGGACCCAAGGTTGGGAACCACTGTTCTAGAGAAAAGTCTGCGGGCAGGTCAGCATACATTGAAGCCAGCATTAGACATTTATTTGCTGAAGGCCTCTTCTTTATCATCCTGCAGTATCCCTAAATTGGATCCAACAAAAAATTGTCCTTCTCCAGAGTGATAATTTCTCCTCAGATATCACAAATTGTACTCTGCAAACAATAAAACATAAAATAATGCTCAGAAATATGTGCTCTGCATTGGTGGTGACCATTGCCAGTTGCCTATTCTGGACTGTGTGAGTGTGAAGACAGAGACAAAACTAAACTTATTTTCTTATCAGGAGCACACAGGTGATGTAGGGAAATGGACTCTTTGATGGTAAGCCTATTTCATTGCCACCAATAATCATGGCCACGATCATGACCTTAGATGACAGTGATTGTTCAGTGCCTTTAGATTAGACTTTTAATACCAATTCTGCAAATCTTTAGCTCATCTGTGCTCCCTCAGGCAAGTAATGCTGTTGACCTGTGCAAAAATGTTAACATTGTCTCCCTCTCTGGTAACACTACATGGATTACTAATATAAAATTTAATTAACATTTACAAGATGCTACTAGTATCAATGCACCCTAAATCCTTTGAGATAATTCTTCTGAATACAAAATAGGAAAAGGCAGTAATTTTTCACCTCAAAAGCACGTTTGACTTCAGGGATGTTTTTGAAAGCAATGACCACTGGTTGGATATCTAAGGCGCTGAGCTCCAGGACTGCAGTGTTGATGGAATTAGGATGGTCAGACTGGCCATTACTGAAAAACACAGCAACTTTCCTCACGTTGTCACCCTGGAGAGTTCGCTTGAAGATGTTCCTGGCAACGAATCTCATTGACCCACCAAGGTCCCGTCTGCTTGTTGATCTCTGGTATGAAAGTGCATTGACTTCTTGGAGCAACCGGCTCTTGCTGCGGAAATCCGGGAAACGGATCAGATAGTGGGTATCGGAATTGTAGGACACCACAGCCACTCTGGCTCCCACTGGGCAACTGCTCTCCCTGATTTTGGTAATGTTCACAATCTCGGTGACAATCTCCTTCATATGTTGAAAGAGCTGGCGAGTGGTGTCTTGCGAGATGTCCAGGGCAAACACTAATTCTGTGGGATATACAGGGCATTCTGGTGTACCTGGGAAGCAAAATAAAATAAATAACTCCCTAGTTATAGCTTTGAAACAAAACAGTTTATAGTGTTCAAACTGTCTTTTGAAGTGAGAGCTTATACATTTACAGCATCATTTGTCTAAATTGTCTTTTGAACTGACAATAAGTTAGCGTTAGGTAGTAAGTAATTCAGTGTCTGTTCACTTGGGATTAAACAACCCTGAGGCCAGGACTATCTGCTTCTAACTATACAGCTACAGCAGGGAGTAGGTAAAGGACAGCCTTTCAGATACATTACTAGACTTCACATCTAGTCTTCCTCCCCATTGGCAATGCTAGCTTGGGCTGGTGGGAGTTACAGTCTAGATTAGAAGGTCACACTTTGCCTACTGATGCTCAATGACTGCACTGTCAAGTACATGCCTACATGTCTAAATCTCCTACATGTTTAGTCTGTTTTCTAGCACAACAGGGTAGTCAGGATCCAGGCCCACCTGTGATGGCCATTGCATACTTAAACCTCCTTTGTTTCTATCTGTGCCACGTTCCTTTCAGTACAGAGATTACTAATTGTCCTTTCCTTGTTTTCCTGTCATAAATTTGCATTTCCTGAATTACTGGGGGAGGAGACATGGCCACTTAATTCAAACAAGTGTCCATTGGAGAGTTAATACTGTCTTACCTGGGCAGCAGGGAAGAATGATCTATGCTACTGGATGGCTCCTTCCCACTGACCAGGAAAGATGTGGAGTCTCTGGACAGAGCAGTGCCACATCCTTTTGTGAGTGTGTGGGGTTGGGGTTGGGGTGGGACTACAAATTGCAAAAATTAGAGGAGTCAAAGGGGTCAATTAGAGTCAAAGTCAATCAGAGGAGTCTTCCCCTCTCAGATACTCACAAAATCTGACTATTTGATTGATTTTGTTTACCATTTTAATGTGGCATTTATTTCACTCTTTTTAATATTTGTATACTTTAATATTCTAAGCTAAATTTGTTAAACGAGCTATGGAAAGGCGGAACTTATTGCCTGCTTCATATGTTTTTCAAGTTACTCTCACATCTTGACTCCTTTTCTTCTTCTTCTTTGAGAAAGCTATTACATTTTATTACTGCTATTTTATCCTTTTAAGCCTTTTATGCTTGTTTGTATATACTTGCATGAGATGCCAAATACTGTTTTATGATTGGTTTAATCTATGTTCTTGCATATAGCCCAATCAACTACAAAGCAATAAAGTATTCATATTTGTAATATTGTAAGCAATGTTCTTTTAATGTTGTAAGCAACTTTGGGTTCTTTGTAAGAAGAAGGCAGAGAAAAAAATATTTTAAATAAATAAATAAAATAAGTACGTATGAAAGGTCTAACTGTCCTTCCCCTCATGGAAGATACCAGCTCCTGATGTGTTGCTGAGATGAAATTATGCAAACACTTCACATACTTCCTTGCTCATTTAGAGGCTTAGCTTGTATATAATATTTCACATAAACAGATTTATAATTAACCAAATTGAAATTATTGTGGTGTATTGAGCCAGTGCTGTGTAGTGGATAAGGACTAGAAGTCAGGACACCTGGGCTTCGGATCCTGTCAGACACAGAAACTCACTAATGTGGTGGAAATGGCAAACCACTCCTTGAACATCTCATATACTTTGATGATTTTAGGAGGGTCACCCCACAACTCAGAACTGACTTGATGGCATGTAACAAATGCAAGTAGTTACAGCATGTAAAAAACTCAGACACACAAGTATGCTGTCAATTTCACAAAGTCTTAGAGATCACCGAATAAGCTGAGCATTAGAAATGGAACAATACTCACCTCTCCAACAAGCTAAACAAGAAAGAAAAAAAAATGCATTATTTCTAATCATATTATTTTGAAAGTTGTAAAACAAACTGCTATTTTTAGAGATGCTGATAGTTAACATACAGTATCTGTATGTCAACGGTACACAGACAGAGACCTTTCTTCTCAGGTAAGCCTTCCCTCAGTAACTAGCTGCCTGTGTGTGATTCTTTTTTAAGAAGATGGATTGTTATGCATTATTGACTGGATTTTTAGTACTACAGTGGTGCCTTGCATAACTAGTGCACCGTTTAACAACGCTAATGCGATCACATTGCGATGTTTTAATGGCTAAAACATCGCATTGCAATGATCGGTAAGCATTGCAATTTTTTAAAACAGCTGATTGGCGATTCCAAAATGGCCGCCAGGTGCCTAAAATGGCCGCTGCAAGTGTTTTCGTGCCCTGCCCTCGCTTACCAAGGGTGCCAAAATGGCGGTGCTATGGAGGAACTTCACTGAACTATGAGTTTGGGAGCCATAGGAACGCATTAAACTTCGTTTAATGCGTTCCTATGGCTTTTTCGGTTCTGTTTAGCGATGTTTCTGCATAGCGACGATTAATCCGGAACGGATTAACGTTGCTATGCGGGGCACCATTGTACTTCCATTTTCCATTTTTGTATTTTTCATTTTACTGAATAACATTTTTTTAAAAATTGTTTACTTATTGTTCTCCGCTTTAATATTGCCTTTTAATGATGTAAGATGCTTATTTACTCTTAGCTTTAAATATTATCTTTTAATGATGTTCACCACCATTGTACACTCATTGTTTTCAACTGCAAATACTGTATTGTCTTTCAGTGTTGTAAGCCGCCTTGGGTCTTTTTCAAGGAGAAAGGTGGGGTAAGATTATTATCAGTCAGTCAGTCAGTCAGTCAGTCAATCAATCAATCAATCAAACCTGATAACTAATTTACAATACTTGCAATGACTGAATCAATCTGTAGTTTCCTTTATGCATCTGACCCTTCTAGATACATTATAGATGTATTCAAAAAGATCTTGTGCATGCATCTCTGACAACTTTTCAAGGGTTAGGATTAGGCTTAGGGTTTAATGAATGAATGAAGTAAACTATCATTTGCTGCCCACCAAAACCAATACTTTTGAGGATCAGATCTTAAGCCTACATGCATATACATCCAGGTGTCACTCTTACTGTGCTTCCAAATAAAAACATGATAGCCATCAATTTGTATATGAGATTGCAACATTTTTATAAACGTAAAATATATGATGGAAAAAGATAAGTTAACACATGCATGAATACTACAAAAGATATAAAAGATCTCTAAGAGAAAATTGCAAACATGTTGCTGTATTAATCAGTTGCAGCAAAAACAGAAAAGAGTCTCGCAGCACCTTGCTGATGAACAAATTCTATCCGGCATTTTTAAGGTGCCACATGATTCTTTCTTTTGTTTTGTTTTAGTGGGAGAAAAGTACCTTTCCCAGATTTTGTCACATAACCATTTACTGGGGCTGCCAACTCTTTAAAATAATGTTTAATTACATAACCATCTGCTCATTAACATATTCATCATCAGTTGATTGATTAAGTGGAAATAAATTTGGATGTCACTGAAATATATTATAGGTGCCTTTTAAGCCAATAAAGGACAAGAGCAATTCTAATTAAAACAAAAAACCAAAAACCACAGACCCTCTGTCATTGATAGAATGAAGAAGATTTCAAATATGTTGGCCAATATCTTACGTTCATCTCAACTGAGAATCACCACATACCACTTAGCAGGAATCAATTGCTCATTGGTATGTCAACATTTATGTCTATTTCTTTGGATAACTGGGTCTGCTCTAGCTAGGATTAGCAAAAGTTACTGCTTTTTGTTTTTATTCTCCATTACAGTAACCACCAGAACCAGGAGAGCCTCAAATCTAAATGAGAAGACCTTAGTTAAATCTTGAGTTAAAATTCACACTCACAATGGATTTAGACCTGATCTCTTGAAAATTAATGTAAACCTAATGGTGCAATATTATCTTTGGATTGTGCTTGCAAGTCAAAATATGATTTGTCCTTAAATGTCTGTGCTGGTATCCCAGAGGTACAAAAGTATGTTGGGTTCCTACACTAACACGGGTAGTGATCTCACAGTGAAACAGATGGCCAAATTGTGTCATCTATGTCCTTCCAATTACACAATATATAGGGAAATTCACTCCATCCTGGTCATGATCCATGCCCAAGCTGGACCTTTGGGGCTTTTACTTTTTTGTGCCTGCTCATCCATACCTGCAGTTGTCAGTTTGTTTATTTTTTTTTATTGAAGTCTCCTTGTATGAAACATTTTAAAAATGGTTACAAAAGCATTGATCTTTCTATAAGAAAAATCAAGAATAGTACTTACGGCTATGGCCACGCACATACTCTATCAGTTTGCAGGGCTGTGGGGAGTGGGGAAGAGACCAAAGTGAAGTAAAATGATACAAACACACAAGTCAACAAAATAGATCAAACAGATGAGTCATTTATTCTTCAACAGGTAGTGGGTTAATCAAAGCTAGAACAGTGTAAAGTTCAGGAAGCTCACCAAGTAATCTTGGGTAGCATACCCTACTTCATAAAATTGTTGTGAAGCTACAAAGGAGAAGAATGACATTTTTCCATCACACACAAACACAGAGAAGGAGATAGAAGAGAGAAAGACACAGTCACAGAGGGAATGAATTCTTGTTATACATACCGAAAATGAGGCCAGGCCCCGGGCTCCTTTGGCACCCTAGAAGCATATGACTAGAATTAGACAACTGGAAGCTGAAGGTTCAAAATCCCTTCCTTTCCAACCTACAGTATTAGGGCTTCCTGTTGGGCAACAATAGCTTAGCAAGACTCTAATATGTCTGATTTATCTATGAAAGCTCACATTGGAACATAAAAATTAATCTTTGAGAGATTAGTGTTTGTGTTTGTTTTTTATTAGTGTTTGTTTTTTATTCTGTTGGGTTTTGTCTGGATAGCCTGGGTTCTCCAGGTTATAATCTAAGTGCAAGCAAAGTGTCTTCTTGTCTCTCACTCATGGTAAAGAGCTCAGGAGACCACACAAACCTTCATTTCTCCCTACATGGGTTTCTTCTGTAGTCCATGCAAGTTATTTCCCTTCCATCTTCAATATTCACCTATCTGTGTTTAGTTTTCATCAGAGTTTGAAAAACTGATGTAAACTTTGATGTAAAATAAAGCTGCCAACTGAGTGGATTCACATAGCTGATTAAAAATCATTTTAATTGACTAAGAATGGCATTGAGACGCAATAATTATGAGCGAAGGTCAGCATTAAACACAATGCAAACATAAAACCACACCACACTGACAGAGAGGGGAAAGGGAGAAGGAGGGAGTAGAATTAAAGGCACAAGGACTCAGGAGTGCTTCCAATAGTTTTTTTTTCATGGTTAAAATAGCCACAGAGCTTGGAAACACTGGCCTGGATCATATGGCAGAAATCCATCCATACAAGGGCAGTCCCACAATGGTTCTCCCCTCAGGTAGGTTGCCCTTCATGCAATTTGTCATGGACAGCGGGAGCCCTTGGTTTGCTTCCTTTAAATATTAAATAATTACCAGATGGGAGGCTAAGAAAGAAGTGTGGCTGACTGCAGCATTTCTTAGAAGCTGCTTAGCTACACCAGAAAGTGTGACTGCCTGCCAGCCACGTTTATGTGTAGTGTTGTTCTCTGCTCATTCTTTTGCTTTTTGTTTTAAATCATTTATTTTATTATTAAAATATAAGAAAAATAATGAAAACAGAAGTGAGTTTTAATCATTTATTTTATTTTATTATTAAAATATAACAAGAAAAATAATGAAAACAGGAGTTTATGTACAATTTGTGCACCTGACATTTGTATACATGAGTTATACTCTACATTTTATACTAAGCACACTATTCTATGCTTTAGATTTACTGTACATGACCTTTTGAAGTATGTGCTCTGCTCATCTTAAGTTCTATCTTATTCTTAGTTCACATTTTTACTCGCCTTTTGAAGTATGTGCTCTGCTCATCCTAAGTGCTATCTTATTCTTAGTTCACATTTTTACTCTTTTAACATGCACTTTCTTATTTACGAGTATTTTTACAGGATTATTTCTGCACTATTCATTTAAATCATCAAAATAATTTCCCACTTTTTTTCAAATTCTTTGATAGGCCTTCTGTTTATACAGTTTGTAAGTTGAGCCATTGTTTAGTCCTTCTTTCTCTCCAATCGTCTGTGGATGGGCATAGCTATGTTTTCCGGTTCTTATCCATTATTGCCCTGGCTGCTGATAACATATAATGAAACAGTTCTTGTGCAGACTTTTCCAGATTTTCTGGTGGTATTGCCCAGGAGCATTGTTTCTTGTTTCATCTCAAATTCAACTTTCAAGATTTTCCTAATTTCCTAATGTCTTTCCAGAATTTCTTTGCTTTTTTACAAGTCCGCCTATTGCGGTAGAATGAGCTTTCAAGTTCCTGACACTTCCAGCAGAGAACTGTATAACGTTTATCCAGATTTTTATGTCTTTTGATGTTATGTACCACTGATAATACATTTTGTGCCAATACTTTCTTAGATTTTGATTTCAAGATTTTCCTAATTTCCTAATGTCTTTCCAGAATTTCTTTGCTTTTTTACAAGTCCGCCTATTGCGGTAGAATGAGCTTTCAAGTTCCTGACACTTCCAGCAGAGAACTGTATAACGTTTATCCAGATTTTTATGTCTTTTGATGTTATGTACCACTGATAATACATTTTGTGCCAATACTTTCTTAGATTTTGATATGATATGTGTTTATCCATATTTTTTTATCTTTTGGCGTTATGTACCACTGATAATACATTTGTGCCAATACTTTCTTAGATTTTGATATGTCGTGAATTTTATGGTTTTTGTCCATAATCTTCCGTGAATTTTATAATCTTTCCATTGTTGAAAAGTTATCTCTAGATTCCTAGATTCTGCATCCACTTTAACATATTGATATTGACTGGTCCTATTTCTGTGTCAAACTGAAGTAGTAATTTATAGATATGTCCTAATAGTCACTCATTTTTGTCATTATTCTCTCAAACTCTGTTAAATTTCTTAATCTTCCCCTGTTGTCCTGCATGGCCTCTTTATATCCTGAAATCAATTGATGGTAGGATAGCTAGCTTATCTTTTTTCCTTCTTTTATTACTTGCTGTGATTTAATTCTCCCTAGTTGCATGAAGGAACCCCATCCTGCTTGCCAATGGGAACAAGGTCTGCAAAACGAAATCGAAACACTTGGAGAATGAAAGACAGTTGTCCCAAATGTATATAAAATAGAAAAACATACTGGACGTCCTGGATAACCCCTTATTCCTGGATCACCTTCCCCACCTTTGAATCCTGGATTACCCTGGAAACATAAAATAGATGTTTCATTTTGCAAAAACATTAAAAAACTATATATTTAAATATCCCCTGAACCCATCTGGAAAAAAGCTTCCCATCACAAAGAAGGACATCAAATTAGCATGGCATAATAAGAAATGCTAAAGGGAATGTGCAAAAAAGAAAAACACATCTGAATGAGTGCTATTAGGAGGAGTCTCGTGGCACAGTCATTAAACTGCAGTATTGCAGTCAAGACTCTGCTCATGACCTGAGTTCAGTCCTGACGGATTCAAGATAGCAGGTCAAGATTGACTCAGCCTTCCATTCTTCTGAATTGGTAAAATTGGTACCTAGTTCACTGGAAGGGCAAAGTGTAGCCTGTATAATTAAATTTTAAACTACTGTACATAGAGTGTGCTTTAAGTGCTGTGGGGTGGTATATAAGCAGCAAGTTTGCTTTGCTTCATTATACACACAGAGAAAAAATTCCTCAGCTTGCTTCTGGTGAAGCAAGATTTGTACACCTTCTTTGGCTGCAGTCAGACCTTCACTAGAACAGAATACTGGTGGAAATTAATGTACTTGTACTTGCAATGCCTGTAGCCCAGGCCACACTAGGCTACAGGCATCATAAAAGGTAAGCAAAATGATGTGTCTGGCATAGAGTAGCACTTTCCAAATAATGCCTCTCTGTTTGTACCATACTTACAACCAATGATATGGTTAGACTGTTGAATCACAGGAATTGTTCTTGGAGTTCCTGTGGCTGGCCACAGAGGAATTATGTCTCTATATAAGCCTTCAAATCTACTGAAATCAAGATCAAGATACCACAAAAACATCTCAGTAGAAACAAATGGTGTATATGGTTGTGACCCCAGGTTTAAAGAACAGGAAATTTAACAGTCAGGTCATGAGAACCCAGTAAGACATGAGTCATAGCTTAAGAAAAAACTGTATTCCATTGACTGACAGCCTACTGGTTAGTGTAGTAAGTTGCACTAGAGCCGGCTCATAGGATCAATAGAGATTTGGTGAGTCAACTCCTCTATAAGTTCTGTTGATTCCAATAGACCTGCTCTAGGTGCAACTTAACACACGAAAGTAATTTACAACCACATTTCAATCAATGGAACTTACAGAGGAGTTGACTCATCATGGCCGACAGCAGTGCAACTTACTACGCTAAGCAACAGGATTTCAGCGAATGTATTGAATTCAGACTTGTGCTTATGATGGACTGAGGGAAATAACATAGATAGAATTGGTATCAGTGGGTCTGCTTTAAGCTGATTAAGTCTGGGCCAAAACCAATGTTTGCAGAATGTGGAAGACGGATAATATACAACGGAATTAGCTGCACAGTAAAAATGGGTAACAACTAAACCAAATCAATAACACTAAATCAACTTTTGCACAAATTGTACCATTCTTCCTTTATTTCCTTTTGGTCCTACTTCCCCAGGAATGCCGCTGTCTCCAGCTATGCCCTGTTGAATTGCATAGAAAGCAAATATGATGAAAATGTGGCAAGAAAGTAAATCTGAAAAATGCAAAAAGTCAAATATAATGAAAGCCACTAAAAGCCTGCAATCATAGATTCCATAGTATCTGATCAATGCAAAGAATACCAACCAACATCCATTGCTCAGTAATGACTGCAAAATTTAGCACCAGTTGATTTATTATACTTGTAAACACACAGAGGAAAATTAACATACTGTTAAGAAGCAGTTGTGATTATTCAAATTTACTTTCTCTGGTTAAAATTAGTTCCTAGCTATTGTTCAACTAAAACATAATTAATGAAAGTTTGGAATCCTTAGAATCTGCATTGTTCCCTAGTGGTGTCTTTCACTCTGTTTATAAAATGTGAAGATTTAGAAACTTTTCAGGGCATTCTCTAAGGACCCAACAAAAGATGTTGGGACCTTAGAGAATGCAAACTGGGTTTGTGTGTGTGTGGCTAGACAGTCCTGGGCTGTATTGGCATAGACTGGATCATTTGAAAGCACAGTTTTATGAAATTACAATTGTATGTATTTATTTTATATTGTTTTGGTTTTGCTGGTCTTTGATCGTAATAATAAAGTAAAGTCTGACATTTAAATCAATCCTTGCATCCACAAGTTAGGATCTGGTGGATTCAGGACAGAACCAAACCACATCTCAAAGCAACCCTGTGTAGGCATTCCTTCCTTTCTGTCTCCATGTCCCCACATCCTCTTTTGCCTCCACTTCCATTGGGGAGTGGGAGAAAACCAATTTTTTTTTAAAAAATAGATAAGTGCCAACAAAAGAAATAGTGCTGAATTGTAAAGAGAGAAGGAAAGGAAAAGAAAAGAAAGAAGAACCCTCTCTTCCTTGTCTGTCTCCTCCTCTATGGGGAGTGGGGGAAAGCTGATTTTTTTGTTGTTGTTGTTGGTAAGTGGCATGCCACTTTACTGGCTTGCCACCCAAGTGACATGGCACTGAATTGTTCAGGGAAATACCTACCTGTACCATTTTGGTTCAAGACCAGCAATCACACAGATTGGTGGATGAGATTACAATTAGACTCCAGGTATGTAAAAGACAAAATAATGGGTTTTTATGAGGAACAAACAACATTTCAGGAAAATGATAAAATAATTAAAAGAATGTATGACTATCTCTAGGGATGTGGTGGCGCTGCGGGCTAAACCACAGAAGCCTGTGCTGCAGGGTCAGAAGACCAGCAGTTGTAAGATCGAATCCACGCGCCCGTCGCTTGTCCCAGCTCCCACCAACCTAGCGGTTCGAAAGCATGCAAATGCAAGTAGATAAATAGGGGCCTCCTCGGTGGGAAGGTAACAGTGTTCCGTGTCTAAGTCGCACTGGCCATGTGACTACGGAAGATTGTCTTCGGACAAAACACTGGCTCCATGGCTTGGAAACAGGGATGAGCACCGCCCCCTAGAGTCGAACACGACTGGACAAAAAATTGTCAAGGGGAACCTTTACCTTTACCTTTTACGAATATCTCTTAAATATGAAAATGGAAGATTAAGTGGTGAAAGACTGTATGATAAAATGGGAACAACATTTTGGTCATAATATCGACTTAGAATAGTGGGCACAAACTTGGCAGAATAATATTGAATTTACAAAATCAGTATTTTAAAAAGAAAAAATAAATAAGACATTTTATAGATGGAACATAACTCCAACTAAATTGTCTAAAATGTAAGAAAATACCTCCAACAAATTTTGGAAATGTAAAATGCAGGTACTTCTTACCATATCTGGTGTACATGCAGGGAAGCAAAAAAAATTTTTTATTGGAGATAAATACATTAAATGTTACAAAAATATTATCTTATGTGATCCCAACAAATTTGGGAAATGTAAAATGCAGAAGGGTACTTTTTACCATATCTGGTGGACATGCAGGGAAGCAAAAAAATATTTTTTTTATTGGAGATCAATACATTAAATGTTACAAAAAATTATCTTATGTGATACCATTTAAACCAAAATTGTTTTTATTGAATATTATGACTGAAATTGTAGATAAAGAAATGAAATATTTGATGATACATGTAATTATTGCACTGAGGACAATATGGAAAATATCAGAAGAAAGAAGAGAGACCATCTCTGGAGGAAATGACAGAAAAGGTACTGGAAGTGGCGGAGATGGATGTACTAACAGAAGCATTAAATGAAATATCATCTCAAAAAGGACTCAAAAGTGCGAATGGTTTTATAACTGGATCTAAAATATAGTGTGAATGGTTTTATAACTGGATCTAAAATATATACTGGAATGTACAGATAAACGAACTACGAGAAGCTCCAAAGGAATGGAGAGAGTAGTAATGATAGATACAGTCTGGAAAAAATGTTAGATTGTTTTCTTATGTGATTTTCCTTTTTTAACATAAGTAAGTGGATGTATGTAAGAATCCTCTTTCACTCTCTGGAATTTTACGCTTTTCCCATCCTTATTCATCCCCTCCTTATTCCCTTGTACCCACACCCCAACCCTTACCCTTACTGAAAATGAATAAAAACTAAAAAAAAAAAAGACCAGCGATCACACATGCCAGAAACTGAACTAATACAGAGCAAATCTACCATTGTTGAAAATCAGTAGCCCTGCCAAAAGGAAGTGATGTGGGCAGTCATGGAAAAGGGTCTGATTTGCAGTTGCCAGCATGTTGTCCAATTGCCAGAAAATGAATCGAACCTGACCATGCCAAACCTGGTCCAAAACATGAGATAAAATGTCTTGTCCCAGCTTTGTAAAGGCATAGGATGAGAAATGGTCTCTTTTTTTGGCTCTGAAAAGTTTCTGAGGAGTCCCAGAAAATCTCACACAAATATCTTAATTATGTTCCTCTGGAACACAGCATAAACTAATTAATCATTTTAAAACATGTGCCTGCAACCTGAGATACACATAACAGACTTTTCTGGATGCTAAATAAGTGAACAGATTATATCCCAAGAGGGCATAGAAACATACATATCTTCTTAACAAACCACTCCAGAGTGTAACAACAGTTACATAGGTTCCCTACTTTCAGTCAACACAGAACAGCAAAAAAAAGCCAATGGTGCTGCTTCAAAATTCGTGTTCACCTTCTAAGGAAATATATCCAGCAGAAATCTGATTCCCAACAATTTCTTTTTGGAGCATGTTGTGCAAGCATTCCAAAATGATGTGGGAAAGTACACAGATAAGGAAAATATAATGTAACACTGAGTTCTAGTATAAACTCTGCTCTTGAAGCACTGACCTGGTCATCAACTAGAGTGAGAGGTTTAGCTGCGGCAAAGGAGTGCTGCCACTCCCTTGCGACTGCCACTCTCTGCTGCTTGGGTCCACTGCCATCACTGTCAAGGAACACTTACAAAAGGAGCGAAAGCAAAGAAGGAGAGCATGATGGCAACAGTGGCACGTTTTGAGTGGCTGTCGTCTCTCTGGTCACCTTAGAACACAGCCACTGTGCAACCAGGGCTTTGCCTCAGATCCAGACCTTAAGCAAGGAGTTGGCCATGCAGCAAGCTGCTCTGAAGCTGACCAGCCAGCCAACAGCAATACTAAGTCATTCCCCTGACTCTCTTCGTCTTGCACAGCACTAGTCGTGGCATGGACAAGGAGGGTGCAGACTGTGGGGACAATGACGCTGCTTTTCCTCCCTCCTCAGGCAGCAGGAGAAATTGTACCAAGACTAGGTGCCTCCATCTCTGTGACAAAAGCCACTATGCCTTGCACTGGAAATTAAAGTTTACACAATCAGATCCATTTATTACCAGAAAACCAATAAGCAAATTTTTCCTTCAGCGGCACTTGTCTCCCAGAAGCCATACACCTACTTACGTTTCTTCCAATGTATCCTGGGAACCCTTCTTCTCCCTGCAATATAAGTATATATGTTGTAATTACCCTTATAATAGCTTCCTGCTGCTTTCAGAAAAGGATGGTTAATGGAAACAAGAGGATATGTGTGGGGGTGGGACCAGTAAACACAACAGGCTAACATGATAACAACAAGCAAATGTAGTTTGTTTATTTATACCATTCCAAGTTTGTCTTTCAAAATTCTCAAGGTTTACACAAGATATAAATTGTTTTTAAGACATATGGGGGGGGGGGCTCACAGAAACTTATTAAGATCTTTCTTCTAGGTGCCTGAGTAGATAAAAAGATGTTCACACATCTTTCATTTTTCTAACTTCCTTCTTAACAACACAATGCATAAGATCTTGGATGGGTAACTTCTAGAAGTCTAGGGGCTGCACAATGCCCCCTAGAACTGCCGGTTCCATATCCCATTCTTTAAAAAATGATATTAAAATGCCTGTTATACTGTCTAGGGTGTGTGTAGACTGTTTTTTATACATTTCACCTCCCCAGATCTGTTTTAAACCCAGAAGGGCACTTTTTCATCATCAAAATTGACCAGAATTCAGTTCTAGTTTTCTATAAAGGATTCACATGCCTAAAGTGGGTGGTGGATGGCAGACATCGTGAAATTATTCCCCATGTTCCCTAGAACTGTGGTTTTCAAACTTGAGTCCCCAGATGTTTTTGGGCTGCAAATCCCAGAAAGCCTGGCCAGTATTTTTATGAATTACACGACATAAAAGCAAGGTTAGTTCACTTGCAATCTTTAGAATACTGGTCAAAATCCAGTTGTTGTTTTTGTTGTTATTTTGTCATTAAGTCATCTCCAACTGTTTGTGACCCCATGGACCAGAGCACGCCAGGCCCACCTGTCTTCCACTGCCTCCCGGAATTGGGTCAATTTCATGTTGGTAGCTTCGGTGACACTGTCCAACCATCTAGTCCTCTGTCGTCCCCTTCTCCTCTTGCCTTCACACTTTCTCAACATCAGGGTCTTTTCCAGGGAGTCTTCTCATGAGATGGCCAAAATATTGGAGCCTCAGCTTCAGAATCTGTCTTTCCATGAGCACTCAGGATTATTTTCCTTCAAAATGGATAGGTTTGTTCTCTTTGCAGTCCAGGGGACTCTCAAGAGTCTCCTCCAGGACCACAATTCAAAAGTATCAATTCTTCAGTGGTCAGCCTTCTTTAAGATCCAGATCTCACTTACACACATTGCTACTGGAAAAACCGTAGCTTTGACTATGTAGACCTTTGTCGGCCTTCTATTTACCAGGAGGTGATGGGACCAGTGGCCATGATCTTAGTTTTTTTGATGTTGAGTTTCAGATGATTTTTGGCGCTCTCCTCTTTCACCCTCATTAAGAGGTTCTTTAATTCCTCCTCACGTTCTGCTGTTAAAGTGCTATCATCTGCATATCTGAGGTTAACCGTAGCTTTGACTATGTAGACCTTTGTCGGCCTTCTATTTACCAGGAGGTGATGGGACCAGTGGCCATGATCTTAGTTTTTTTGATGTTGAGTTTCAGATGATTTTTGGCGCTCTCCTCTTTCACCCTCATTAAGAGGTTCTTTAATTCCTCCTCACGTTCTGCTGTTAAAGTGCTATCATCTGCATATCTGAGGTTGTTGATATTTCTTCTGACAATCTTAATTCTTGCTTGGGATTCATCCAGTCCTGCCTTTCCCATGATGTATTCTGCATATAAGTTAAATAAGCAGGGAGATAATATACAGCCTTGTCTTACTCCTTTCCCAATTTTGAACCAATCAGTTATTCCATATCCATTTCTAACTGTTGCTTTCTGTCCCATGTATAGATTTCTCAGGAGATAGATAAGGTGGTCAAGAACTCCCATAGTTTGCTGTAGTCCACACAGGCAAAGGCTTTTGCGTAGTCAATGGAGCAGAAGTAGATGTTTTTCTGGAACTCTCTGGCTTTCTCCATGATCCAGCACATGTTAGCAATTTGGTCTCTAGTTCCTCTGCCTCTCTGAAATCCAGTTGTACTTTTGGGAGTTGTCGATCCACATACTGCTGAAGCCTACCTTGGGGAGGATTTTGAGCATAACCTTGCTAGCATTTGAAATGAGTGCAATTGTACAGTAGTTGGAGCATTCTTTGGCACTGCCCTTCTTTTGGATTGGGATGTAGACTGATCTTTTCCAATCCTCTGGCCACTGCTAAATTTTCCAAACTTGCTGGCATATTGAGTGTAGCACCTTAACAGTGTCATCTTTTAAGATTTTAAATAGTTCAACTGGAATGCCATCACCTCCTTTGGCCTTGTTGTTAGCCACGCTTTCTAAGGCCCACTTGAATTCACTCTCCAGGATGTCTTGCTCAAGTTCAGCAACCACACTATCTGGGTTGTCCGGAATATCCAGATCTTTCTAGTATAATTCCTCTGTGTATTCTTGCCACCTCTTCTTGATGTCTGCTGCTTCTGTGACGTCCCTACTATTTTTGTCCTTTATCATGTCCATCTTTGCACAAAATATTCCTTTAATATTTCCAATTTTCTTCAACAGATCTCTGGTTTTTCCCTTTCTATTATTTTCCTCTATATCTGTGTACTCTTCATTTCAGAAGGCCTTCTTGCCTCTCCTTGCTATTCTGTGGAAGGCTGCATTCAATTTTCTGTAACCTTCCCTATCCGATTTGGATTTTGTTTCCCTTCTCTTTGCTATTTGTAAGGCCTTTGCTTTCTTGCATTTCTTTTTCTTTGGGATGGTTTTTGTTGCTGCCTCCTGTACAGTGTTACGGGCCTCCATCCATAGTTCTTCAGGCACTCTGTCCACCAAATCTAGTTCCTTAAATCTGTTTTTCACTTTGACTGTGTATTCATAAGGGATTTGGTTTAGATTAAGAAGCTGCTGATCAGAGCCACAATCAGCTTCTGGTCTTGTTTTTGCTGACTGTATAGAGCAGTGGTTCTTAACCTTTGTTACTCAGATGCTTTTGAACTGCAACTCCCAGAAACCCCAGTCAGCACAGCTGGTGGTGAAGGCTCCTGGGAGTTGCAGTCCAAAACTCCTGAGTAACTCAAGGTTAAGAACCAGTGGTATAGAACTTCTCCATCTTTGGCTGCAGAGAATATAATCAATCTGATTTCCGTATTGCCCATCTGGTGATGTCCATGTGTAGAATCACCTCTTGTGTTCTTAGAAAAGAGTGTTTGTGATGACCAGCTTGTTCTTTTGACAAAACTCTATTAGCCTTTGCCCTGCTTCGTTTTGAAATCCAAGGCCAAATTTACCTGTTGCTCCTTTTATCTCTTGATTCCCTACTTTAGCATTCCTATTCCCTATAACGAGAACATCTTTCTTTGGTGTCAGTTCCAAAAGGTGTTGTACATCTGCATAGAATTGGTCAATTTCAGTCTCTTCAGCATCGATGGTTGTTTCATAAACCTGGATTACTGTGATGTTGAAATGTCTGTCTTGGATTCGTATTGACATCATTCTATCAGTTTTGAGATTATATCCCAATATAGCTTTTCCTACTCTTTTGTTGACTATGAGGGCTACTCCATTTCTTCTATGTGATTCATGCCCACAATAGTAGATATGATAATCGTCTGAATTGAATTCGCCCATTCCCGTCCATTTTAGTTCACTGACGCCCAGGATGTCAATGTTTATTCTTACCATCTCCTGTTTGATCACCTCCAGCTTCCCAAGGTTCATAGATCTTACATTCCAGGTTCCTATGCAGTATTTTTCTTTGCA